TTAGTAAAGATATCAGCTGTGTTGGCACCTGAGGCCAAGTGAACTACGCGGGCCTGGCGGCGCTGCTGTAGCTCGCGCAGGAGGAAGTACCGCAGCTGGATATGCTTCGCTCTGCCCTCAAGCCGAGGCTCCTGACACAGGAGTATCATGGCCCTGTTGTCAGCGTACAGGACCGGGGCAGAGCTAGGCCGCTCACCTAAGTCTGTGAGCAAGAAGGTCAGCCAGCGGAGCTCCTGTGCCGCCATGGCACCAGCGTAGATCTCAGCCTCACAGCTAGACTGAGCCACAGACGACGAGCGAGTGGATCTCCAAGAGATAGCACCCGAACCAAGGCTGAAACAGTAGCCCTGCGACGACCTGAGCGTCTCAGCGTCGTCTGCCCAAGAAGCGTCTGTGTGCCCAGTAAGGACCACTGGCCTGCGTCCTCCTAGCACTAACCCCATGCCTGATGTACTAGCAAGATAACGCAAAACCCTCTTAGCGGCAGACCAGTGCTGAGGTCGGTGTCTGCCTGTAGCCACAAAGCGAGCCAGGATGCTGAGAGGGTATGCGAGATCTGGGCGAGTGCAAGTCATCAGGTACATGAGGCAACCCACCAGCTCTGCGTAGGGGCCACTGGGCTCTAGTGGCTCCTCAGGAACGGGAGCAGAGAGCCCATGGTCTACGGGTAGAGGTGTGGGCTGTGCGGAGGAGAACTGAAGACCGAACCTCTGAAGGACCTGACGCACCAAGTGTGACTGGGTCAGAGTGATGGTGCGTGCTGCTCTGTCCCTAGAGATCTGCAGGCCAAGATAGCGACGCAGCTCTCCAAGGTCAGTGCAGGTGTGTCTCTTCAGCAGCTCAGCCTTCACAGAGGCCAGTGCGTCCCTGTCAGGAGTAGCGAAGACCAGGTCGTCTACGTAGACAAGGATGTAGAACGGAGTCTGGCCGGAACGCACAAACAGTGAAGGGTCAGCAGAGGACGGAAAGAACTGCAGGTCTGCTAACGTGGCACGTAGCGTGTCGTGCCACTCGCGGGGAGCCTGACGCAGGCCGTAGACCGGGCGCCTGAGAAGCCACTGGGTCCCAGGAGGGAAGGTACCAGTGAAGCCCTGTGGTCGGCGCAGGTAGACCTGCTCGTGTAGGCTGCCCTGAAGAAAGGCAGTAGAGAAGTCGAGGGAGTGAAGCTCGTAGTCACGCTGTGCTGCTACGTGTAGCAGCGCCCGAAGAGTGGTCATCTTCGGGGTCGGGGCGAAGGTCTGGAAGAAGTCAACCCCCTCGCGCTGACTGAAACCTCTGGCCACGTAGCGCGCCTTGAAGACAGGCGGCTCTCCAGGGGGGCGCTTCACCTTGAAGAGCCACCGACCATCGACTACGTTCACCCCAGGCGGGGGAACTGCGTCGACGTAAGTGCCGGTGGATCTCCAAGATGCCATCTCCTGCTCCATGGCAGCTATCCACTGAGAGGCCCAAGGTCCCGAGGTGGCCTCAGCGTAGGTGCGAGGGGTCGGGATGTCGAAGGCGTCTGGGTCACCCTCAGGGACTAACAGCATGGAGCAGAGATGGGGAGCAGCCTCGGAAAGGAAAGCCAGCTCGTACTGCCTGTCCTCTAGGACGTCACTGCCAAGGGCAGGAGCACCCCCGACGGACAGAGGACGGGCAGGGTCAGAGACCAGAGCGATAGCGTAGTCAAGGCGGCGGGTAGAAGCGAAGTCAGCGACAGCAGCGACAAGCGCGTCAAGGCGCGAGACAGGAACAGCAGGGTCGGTAACAAGAGAGGCAAGGACCCGAGGGACAAGGGGACGAGCAGCACGGAGGTAGTCAGAGAACGGAGGAGGTGCAACAGCAAGGGACGAGGGAGGAGGGGACGGGAGGAGGGGAGGACGAGACGAGTGGGAACGGAGCAACATAGGGTGGGTGGGCAGGACAGGAGAGACGGGACGAGCACGGGAGGGACGGCGAGCCCAAACGTGAGACGGAGGGGTAGGGTCAGGGGACAGCGGAGGAGACACAGGAGGGGAACGAGGAGGAAGACGGGCCGGAGACGAGTCTGGCGGCGGGAACACAGGACCGTAGACAGGGAGGTCAGGAGGCGGTGGGGGAGACACCGGCGCGCGGTCCGGGGAGGGAAGGCCGAGCAGGCGGAGAGCGGAAACCGGCGGCGACGGCTGCTGCGGCGGCGACGACGGCTGGGCCGGAACTCTCGGACCAGCAGAGGCAGAACGACCGTCGGCAGAACACTCAACAGCAGCACCCCCAGAACCAACACCCCCAGAGCGAGAACCCCCTCCAACACCAGCGGCACCCCCAGAAGCCGCAGGACGAACACCCTCCTCCACACCAGCACCCCCAGGGGCCGAGAGCAGCGGCGGCAGTGGCGGCAACGGCTGCGGCGGCGGCGACAGCGGCGACGGCTGCGGCAGCGACAGCGGCGACGGCGGCGACAACAGCGGCGACGGCTGCGGCGGCGACGGCGACGGCGGCGGCAGCGGGGTCGGCGACTGCGACAGTGGGGGCGGAGGCACCGGGGAAGGGGGACGCGGCAAGGACGGACCGGGGGTACCACCAGAGTCAGCAGACTCCTCAACGGGGACAACCGACGGGAGGGGAGTGACGTGGGAGACACCAGACGGGGCAGGACGAGGCGGGAGAGGGGCAGGGGCTACCGGGGGAGAGGGAGCAAGGAAAAGGGGGGGGGCAACTGGGAGACCTCGGTGAGGGAAGCGGCGGTAGAAGGAGACGGACTCATCAAAGGTGACGTCACGAGAGTGGAGGAAGCGGTGAGACGGCGGGTGGTAGAAAAGCCAGTCAGACGAGTCCAGGGGGAAACCGAGGAAGACACAGGGGACAGTGCGGGCAGTGAGCTTGTCCGTGCCAGAGGCACGAACGTGAGCAAGGCAGCCCCAGACGTGGAACGCAGACGCGTCACCGGGGGACCCGGTCCAAAGGAGGGTCGGCGAAACCTGCGGCCGCTGGGAGCGTGGCCACAGGTTAAGCTGGTGAGCCGCGTAGCGAACAGCGAACGGCCACAGAAAATGGGGGGCATCGGCATGGATCATGGAGGTACGGGCGACCTCCATGACCAAGCCGATGCGGCGCTCAGCAACCCCATTCTGCTGTGGCGAGTCCGGCAACGTGTACGACTGGGTGATGCCCTCCGCACGACAGAACTGTCCAAGCCGACCAGAGGCGAACTCGCCGCCACGGTCGGAGTGGAGACACAACACGGGGAGACCGCGGTGGAGACGCGCAGCCACAACCCACGGGAGAAGAACGTCGGGCACGTCGGCCTTCCGCTCCAGGGGAAACACCGTGGTGTAGCGCGTGTAGTCGTCGACAAGCACAAGGAACTAGCGCTCACCGCGCGGTCCGGGGACGGGGGCAGGGCCCCAAACGTCCAAGTGCAGGGTCTGAAGGGGGGCAGTAGCAGGACGCAGCGAGGAGGAGTGAGGAGCACGGCGGAGCCGACCCTCGACGCAAGGCGTGCACGGTGGCGCAGTCGAGGGAGGAAGGGCAGGGAGCGACGCGGGGAGACCTAAGACAAGACCGTGCTGGGACATGTGACGCAGACGCGGGAGAGCAGGGTGACCTAAGCGGTGGTGCCAGAGAAGGGAGGGGTGAGTGAGGGACCGACACGAGCAAGCTGCAGCGACCTGGGAGGACGCACCAACCGGGGGGGAAGCGGTGTGTAGGGTAAACAGACCGGACACCGGGTCCCGGGGGAACGTCGCAAGGGGGGAACCTGAGACAGCCTCAGAACAGACAGCGAACCGCTCGTGCCCGGGGAACGTGGTGGTGACGCCGAGGTCCTGGAGACAGCCGACACCAACCAGGTTCCTGGAGAACGAGGGAACGTGGAGGCCAGTAAGGGAGCCCGAGGGAACTGCCGGACAGGGAAGGGACGTAGAACTGCGCGCGACGACCGGACCCGCAGAGGGGTCAGCGAGAGAGACAACAGCAGGTGCAGCAAGCGGCGTGAGCGTGGAACGGTCGCGGAAGAAGCAGGCAGAAGCACCAGAGTCGAGAGTGAAGGACAGCGACGCAGTGGCGGAGGCCGGGGACGGAGCCGGTGCAGCGACTAGACTAGGCAACCTAGGCAGTCCTACGCCTGTCGCAGCAGGGGAAGCTAACGGGGCCGAACGGGCGCGACGGGGCCCAGAGGGGGGGGACGCGACGGGGCTTAGGAGGCGCGACGATGCCTAGGAGGCACGACGGGGCTCAGCGGGCTCGACGGGGCCCATGGGGGGCGCGACGGGGCCTAGGAGGCGCAACGGGGCCCAGCGGGGGCGCGTTAGGGCCTAGGGGTCGCGACGGGACCCAGCGGGCGCGACGGGGCCTAGGGGGAGCGCGACGGGGCCTAGGAGGCGCGACGGGGCCCAGCGGGCACGACGGGGCCCAGGGGGGGCGCGACGGGGCCTAACGAGCGCGACGGGGCCCAGGGGGGGCGCGACGGGGCCTAGGGGGCGCGACGGGGCCTAGGAGGCGCGACGGGCGGAAGCGGTAGGCGGGGGGATCCTAACCTAAGCGTGATACCATGTTAACGTAGAAATGAATGATTACTAGAGGTGGAAACCTAGAACAAATACTAGTTGGTTGTACTCACTAGAAGCATACCTCAGTCTAGCCTATAACTTCTACATAGATAATATGTATAAGTTGACACCGAATACTCCCGAGGTACAATAGGTTTTTTCGTTTCACCAAGTTGGCGAAAAGTCATTTGAATCGCGCGCACGTTTCGTGCCTCGTCGCACACGCGTCAAATCGGCGCCACTGCGTTTGGGGGTTTTTTACGTACTGGGAACCCGTTTTTTTCAAAAGAACTATTTTCAAGAATGGCGCTCTTGAAGCCCCCCCAATGCTATTTTAGCCTGTGGTTTTAAGTTCTCACTTTAACACCGAGTTCGTAAAAACGTGTCCAAAACCCCCAATTGAACTATTTGGACCGCCCTTAGCCTTGTGAGGGGGGATCAGTGAGGTTGCAGAGAGGAGCAGGATAGCTGCTGAGTTACTGTTACATGCACATAGAGTGCACTTTATTCAAAACTGAGAATAGAAATAAGGCCTTCAAACATGAAGGCATGACTCATGGGTTAGCTATGTAAACAAGGGGGTTCACTCCAGAATAGGAATTAACTCTACAAAGGCCTTGGAATAGAACACCTGAGAACAAGCGAAGTGTACTATCTACCTGCGAACATGGCCTCTCTATCGGACTTGGAATAGAACACCTGCGAGTGATGATGCCGCTCGTAGGCGAAAACGTAGGGCTCCGCCGCCTGCGACGACAGGTGCCTTGGGAACACCTCCACTCCAGGGGCAGTCACATCCTCGCTACAAGCATGCACTCTGGGATCCGACTGTATGCTGATGGGATAGTCGTGTAGCTTATTCCGCCGAGCGAGTATCCGCGAGTCGGTATACATCACGGATTTGTCGTCCAGATTATTCCACGCTTCGCCAAAAATGTCGCCAGAACTGGGAATGCCGATGTGGATGTTTTGCTGGCTGCAGCTGCCAGTGCTGCCCTTGCTTATCTTCCGATTAGTAGAGCCTCGGTTCCTGAAACTAAAGACTTTCAGCTGAGGTAGGCGGTCCATTAGCGACGGCTTGGACGATGCTCGCCGGTCCGCTGTGATTGGCTCGCCGTGGCTTTGGCGAAGAGAGGCGTTGTGGGGGTCCTGATAGTTATGATGCGAGTGACCGTGAGGTGACCACGAAGCGGCATCGTAAGTCATGTCTTCGAGCGCGTCGATCTGTGAGTCGAGAGGAGAGGGAAGAGGGGGGAGGGGAGAGGGAACAACGGGGCGAAAACGCGTTAGGGTTCGCTTCACCAGAAGGGGACAACCCGAAGGGTTAATGGTTTGAAGAAAGAAAATATTTCCCTTCCGGGGACGAAGAATCCCAGGTGAAACTAACCTCTTGAAGAATGGGGTTAGCGGCGCGGCGAGCATCTGACGCCATGGATTTGCGGCGTCCGTCAAGCTCGCACGTGCAGTTGGTTCGCATCGTGGCGATGCTCCCCGTGGCACTGGCAGGCTCCGCTTCCCGCCACGTCGGCAGCCGCGCGTCACGATATCCCCCCGGAGTGGGAGTCACAATCCCACCGTCGGAGAGCGGGGGAGAGTAGGGAGACAGTGCCGAAAGCGGGGAAAGCGGGCCGTAAGATTCGGACGACCTCCGCCCGTCGTAGTAGTTCCCCGCGGGGCCGGCCGGGACTACGTTAGCTGAATACAGCTCGGAGCTCAAGTCGTGGCCAAATCCCCAGTCCCTCTGCGGAGCATTCGGCGCATCCGGACGCGCGGACCCGCGTTTGGAGGGTAATGTCCGCGACTTGCGGAAGGTCGGCGGGGACTCTTCGTCGGGGAATTCACCATCCGGATGGAAGGCAGAAACGACGGGGAATTGACCGTCCAAGGCAGAAACGGAGACTTCCACCGCAGCTCCCGCCGCATTTCGCGGGCGCCGCGTCTCGGCGAGGAGGAAGTACGTGCGCCCGGGTTTGAGGGGCGTCGCGGGGGATAAGGGGGTGCGCGGCGTGGCGCTGCTGAGGGTGGAGAGGAGGAGGTGGCGGGGGAAGTCGGCGAGCACTGTTGCCGCCGTGAGACGCGCGTCGTCGTAGAGGCGCGCCGAGCCGTCCGGAAGCAGCACGACGATGCACGGCGGGGAGAGGGTCGGCGAGTCGGCCTTGGCTTGCACCATGATGCTTGCGACGTCGCAAAGAGAGGGACGTGATAAAAATGTCAATCCAACGCAAAAACAACAGAGTACGAAGCTGAGTTTCCAGTAGAGCCTCAATGACGTTCTGAACGGGTCGGTTGTGGCTGCGAGCTTGGTCGAAAGAGGCGTTGTTCCTATGTAGTGAAGTTAGAGAGCATCAATTGACAAAGCTCCTATGTATGCTGCTGAACTGAACTCGGACTCGCGCTAGCTCAAGAGACACTCGCTTGTGACTACCATGGCTATGGAGATGTACACATACGCACCGCTGGTAAGAACCTCAGTCTAACAAACCGCGTGCCATGGGCTGTGTGAGCTCAGCACGAATCGCAACCGCGTTCAACAGGCTCTTGAGTCTTGGCTCTTACACGTTCTGTACAGTCCTACACCGCAAGGGGGGGTGTGTGTCGTGGAAAGTGGCGCGTGGCGAGATCTTCCCCGGAATCGTCGGCATTGTCTTGTTGTCGCGGAACGACGCCTGGGTAACATCGTGCTCTGTTCGCAGCTTTCGCAGATGTCTATTTCGGCTTCACCCATTGGTCAACGACCGCGACTGCTGGCAATCGCAATGCAGTGTAACGGCCTCCCTAAAGGCACACAAATGCCAATGGCGGTGCGGACGACGGTCTTGAATTTACTCGACCGACACGGATCTTGTGTTTCTCCACCAATGACCGTCATGACACACCCGTGTTACGTTACGTGTACTGTACAGCTGTGCGACCTGTGGCTAGCTGTAAAATTCCCTCCTGCTGTACAGCACTGTACACGACGCGGCATTGCCCAATTTCGCATGCGGTCCCGCATGCCCGTAAAAAAACTCATTCCAGTTCTGTGGACTTCGTGCTTTGTTAAGTGCTCATGTTTTGCCAACTCCCTGTTATTTCTTCTTTCTGGCACGCGTAGCAAAGGGCTGATCTCGCGCAATTTTTGTATCCCTGGTATCTGTTTCGTTCGTCGCCTCTGAATTTCGTCGCGTGTTTGAAGCCCCCAAATGTTTTCGCCTAGCTAGACGTCAAAGTTCGCCTATTTCCCGCCTTTTTTTCCGGGGCTCGGCGGGCTTTCATAGTATTGGACAACGCAAGATAACAACACTTTACATTTAACGTATGTAGGCAGGTCAATTGTTTGATGATACGTGTTGTAGGTGGCTGCTAGATATATTTTTACATATCTTGGACAAAGACTTAGAATCTTGGTATCATTTGGGGGTCACGATTTGACACGCAATGTGGAATCGTGTGGAAAGACGCAAAGTAGAAGCTTTATTCATTCGGATATGTATGGATGGAAATAATATATGCATAAATATTACAATATTGATACATGTGTCCGGATCGAAATCAGGCAAACATGGGCTCATTGTAGCACTCTGGATAAAAGGCCTGGGAGTAATGGTGCTCGTAGTCGATGGCATAGGGTTCTTTCTCTTGCGACGACCGCCGTCTGGGGAATTCCTTTACTCCACCAACAAACACGGCCGCGCTAGGAGTAGCCGCGCTGGCGTCTGGTTGAAGCTTGTTCCGACGACCTAGAATCTGCGTGTCCGTAAACATCATCGATCTGTCGTCCAGATTTCTCCAGGAGGCTTCATCCTCTTCACAATGCCTTAGCGCCGCTGGGTGTCGCTTTCCGCCGATGATGTCCTCCCCGAGGCCTGGAGCATTGGGAACACCGATCGGGATGTTCTGCTGGCTCTGGCTCTTGTTCATCTTCCGGCCGGTGCCTCTGCTTCTGAAACTCCACGCTTTTAGCTGAGAGAATCTGTCGATCACCGACTGCTTAGAGACATTCGACGATGTTCGCCGGCTCGATGTGATTGGCTCCGCCGATGTGAGTTGCGAAGGCGCTCCGAAAGGAGACTGTCGGCCTTGAATGTAGTCGGCGCTATCATCGCTTGTCAAGTCGTCCAGGGTTTCGAGCTGCATCCAGGTGCGAATCCGACATAAAAAAACGACGGAACAAAAAAACAGTTCGGGTTTTCATAGAAAAGCCGAACCCCTCTGAAAAAGGCGTAGTAACATGTCAATCAAGAAATGGGATGTACGTCCAACCGAGGGAAGAACTAACCTCGAGGAGAGTTCGGTTGGCTGTGCGCCCGTCCTGTCGTCGCGACGGAAGCACGGCATGTGTGCAACCAGCGTCCCGACAGTTAGTGGTCCTGCTGCTGCTCCCGCCGCGAAACTCGCACGTGCTTGTGGTTCTCATAATGCTCCCCGTCTGCTCCGCTCCGTCGTTCCACGTCTTGGGAGGGGAGCTGCGCGCTTTACTGTGGTGACACTCGAGCGGGATCGCGCTTTCGGACAGCGGAGGCGAGTAGGGAGACAGCGTCGAGAGCGGGGAAACTGGGCCGCACGTTCGGGGTAGTCGCTGCGTCGCGATTCGCGGGGAACCGCGAGCCGACTTCGAGTCGGCTTCGGACGCATCCGCGGGCATGCCGGAAGAGGGCAGGGTTTGCGACTTGCGAAACACTCTCGCCGGCGAGGATTGCGAGGCCGATGGCGACGTCTGCGCGAAAACGTTCGCCGTAATTCCCGCCACAGTTAGCGCCGGGCGCTTCGTGTCGGCAACGAGAAAGTAAGTTCGACCCGGTTTGAGGGCTGCCTCAGGGGATAAGGGGACGCGGCGCGTGGCGCTGCTGAGGGTGGAGAGGAGGAGGTGGCGGGGGAAGTCGGTGAGCACTGCTGATGCCGTGAGACGCGCGTCGTCGTAAAGGCGCGCCGAGCCGTCCGGAAGCAGCACGAGGACGCAGGGTGGCGAGGAGAGAGACGACGCGTCGAATTCATTGGGTTGCGCCATCGCGACGCGTAACAACGGGCTGAAGGTTGCGGGAAAAGGCTTACTAGTGCGATGACGGAGGTGGCCGACTGTTTTCAGATCTGTGAAGGATTGATTGAGGCTTGAGCTCAGATCGAGACGTCACAATCACGAAGTCCGAAGTGGTCTTTATCTGGTAAATCGCTCACAGCCTTGAAGGGGGGAAAAGGCGATGATGAGCTCAAACCCCCGCAGCAACACGAGTTGGGGGCGTGGGGCTACTAACTACCACAACTTTTCTTGCTTCACCTTGTCGTTGTGGCACACCACGACGGCACAACGAAACGACGACACGACGAAACGACGACACTACGAAAAGACAGAGATCTGCAACCCCCATGTTTTTAATTCCTCTCGCCAACGACAGTTATTCGCTGCTGGGCGTGTGCAAGTGGGTTCAAATGCAGGCGAGTCGTCTGGCTGAATAAAATACAGTATTTAGGAGCAAAGGGGCAACTATTACGACTGCGCGCCTCTCTCCACTTGTATAGTGAAAGAAGTTGAGATTCAGTATGAGGAATTTGACACACTGTACCGAAAATGAAGGTATAGTACCGTCGATTTTCGGTACAAGAGGTGTAAAACCACGCTGATCAGGTACTATACCTTCATTTTCGAAATCAGGTCGTGGTGATTCCCTTTTCGGCGTAGTGCATTTTTCCTGATTCCGTCCGCCTAACGGGCTAATGTTTATGTGATTCCGTGATATTACGGGTTATATATTTTTGATTCGGTGCGAAGTACACTGTAGTAGGGATCTGTTCGTGGTAGTGTATCACCCCCTCCCGCCCTTCCCTCACCTCCACTTAGCAGAGAGAGAGGCTAGTTAGCGGGAATTGTTTCTGCACTTCCAATCACCTGAGGCATAGTGTGTGCGAGGAGCCTTGGGGGTTCGAAGGTTTTTCCTTATAGCCTTGGCGAAGACCATTTGCCTCTGAGGATGTTAGTATCAAACCAAGAGTAGCACTTCGACGAATCCGTAGTTGAACGGGTAGTGTTTCGGCGATTCTGTCCGCTAACGGGTAATTTCGGGGCCGATTCTGTGACCGAACGGAATACCCCTGGCCGTAGCGAGAGCCCTGCTTGTCGTCATCGGGCTCGCTGAACGACAAGATCCGCAACGGCGTGGATACTGCTTTCGCTGGAGCAACCGGCCAGCAACATTTGGTCTTGTTGTCGCCAAACGTCACTTGGGTTCGTGGAACTGTCGCAAAGAGCAATTGCTCGCCTTGACGACAAAAGCTGGGTGATTCCGTGGTCAAGAAGCTGCTGCGACGCGATACGACCCACGAAAGTACAGCATTCACCAATCCGATGTCTTGTTTCGGTGGTTTCGTTTCGTCGGTCCGTTGGCCTAGTCTTGTCTCTTACAGTATCAATTCGACTGCAGCTTGTCGTGTCCACAACAGGGCTTATGCTAGGTTCCTGCGCCGCTCGGACGTTCAGGTTCAGGGTGCCCCTCGAAACTTACCCTGAAAAAAAAACGGCACGGCAAAATCGTATCCTTACGAAAAGGGCTCCCACCAGATCCGCTCGGCCAAATCCGAGCTGGCTTAAAAGACACTCTTTTATCTGTCTAGCAATCTAGCATTACAAATCGCATGTATGACGTGTCCATATAATTCAACTTATTAATGCATGCAATGTCTTAAAAATGTTTAGAGGTATGCTAGCCAAGAACTCACATCACACCAACCTCACTCATTATCTGCAGGGATGCGAAACGGCCTCCTGTCCAACACCTTATCCCACTCCTCATACACGTCCAGCCAGTCAATCTCATAATCAAGCATCTTCACCGCCATGAGTTCTGCAAGCCTTACGTTGGACAGGCAGGTCCTGTCCCAGCTCTTGATCACATTCTGCCTCGAAAACCCCCTCTCACATGCTACTGTGCTGAGGGGAAGCACAGCGAGCGCACGCCAAAGCTTCATGATGTTGCCATAGTTCTCATTGCACCCTGTGGTCTTTAGAAGATTGAACATGCTTTGTGTGAACCCCTCCTCTCTGTAACGCCTCTCCAGCGTTGCAATCAGCAGCGGCAGATCCAACTCGCAGCCTGCCTTGCTGACACCTGAGGGAAACATGTAGGGTCGTTAGTGTCTTAATACATAGCATTGAGTGTAGCAGGTGCACAAGTAAGTTTGGTTAAATCATCACCTGGCAGTTCGTTGCGGAACAAAATGAGCAGCTGGTCCAGCCATCCGTCGAACACCTTGTTCCTTCTGTTGGACGTTCGAGGTGGATAGGTGGACCCCTTGAAGAGATTGGCACCCTGCAACTTTTCAAGGTCGCCGAGCCGCTGCTCAAGCGCCTTGTCCAGCTGCTCGGCTAGTTCCTTGCCAAGGGCAAGGCATGACTCCAAGTCGCAGCCGTATGTTCCACCAATATCTGCCTTGTGTATGTCTATAGTGTCAGTGATGATGTTTCCATCGCAATCCAGCCCTTCAATTACCATCTTACGAGCATCAGTGCTGCCATGCTCACGCAGAAATGGAGCCAACCTCCCCTCACGACATTCACCGAACCCGTTCACTGGATTGATGTAGCGTAGCTTTAGCAACTCCCGCACGTCCTCCACCTCAGCAGAAACTGTCGTCATGTCCAGCTGGGAATAATAACACAAAGTTTATGGAACTGTAAAATGGCAGCATTGTTTAAATGATTATAAGGCTGTATGAGCGAAAGCAATCTCCTAAACACTTGGAAGGATTGAAGAAATCAATGTGCAATGTAACAGAAGGGTTGTTACAAGCAATGGCATCAATTCTTCACATCAGGCTAAGCCCCATAATGGGAATCACATACCAATTGCTCTTGGAACTTCCGGTTCAGCTTGTTCAATAACTGCAAGACGTCGTCGAGGAGGTACAACATAAAGATGAATTTAAAGGAAGTGGCCTTATTGTAGTTGGGGTGCTTCTCCTCTTTCCACAACCACAGTAGCACTGGCAAGACATCACAAAAGCGAGAAACTGCCTCCCCTCGTGCAAGCCAGCGTATGTTAATGATCCATAGGACCTCAAGATCGGTCTCACGAATGGCTAGTTGGAGCTGCAGGAAACGCTGCCGCCTGACGTTTGAACGGCCCAAGTGTTCGGCTGTCGCCTTGATGACAACGTCCACAATTGCTAGATCAGGCACCTTGGCTGCCGCATCCTTTGCAGCAAGAGCTTCTCTGGTGTAGAGTGGGTGTACAAAGAAAAACAAGATAACATATGAGTATGAAGTAGCTAGGGAAGTTGCACATCAAATGAGATGTTTTTTCAGAGGGTCAACATGAATGAATCACCAATTTTGTAGCGATAGGCTCCCCCACCCACCTGTGAGCAATGCAGTGGACCGAGACCAGCCACTTGCAACGCTCCCGCAGCCTGGCTACAAGCCCGTTCTGTGCACCGGTCATCACAGAGGCCCCATCCGTGCTAATACCAACTAGCCGCTGAACATCAAAGCCATTGCTGTCAAGATATGTCGTTAGCACAGTATAGAGAGTGGCTGCATCACACTTGTCTAAAGGAAGGTGAGCAAGGAACTCGTTGAGTATTGCGCTTTCTCGCTCAAAGGTGCAATAGACAATGAGGTGTTTCCCGTGTGCACGATCCGTCGACTCGTCTAGCGAGATCCCATACCATGGGCTGCTTTGATGTGGGCATGCTGCAGCCTATGCAGGTAGGTTGCAAGAGCAATGATAAACTGACCGGCTGCCCACATGTAGGAGAGGAGTCAGAAAGGGCATGCACTATATGCTTTAAGGTTTGAGATATGCATAAATAAACATCAGAAGAAAACCAAATTATTTGAACAATGTGACAATCAACTATGGCACTTACATTGTGTCGTATCGGGAACTTGTCTCCTCGCGGGGCATGTCGTTAAGGCCCTGGTCCGCAAGCCAATGTGCGATGACTGGGTACAATGATATCGGGATATCATGGCGACCGATAAAGTAAGCTATTTTCATGAGCCGCACTACGCGCCGTATCAGCCCATCTGAGTGCTCGAAATCCCTCCATTTCTGCTTCATGAGCTCCTTCTTTTCATCCCTGACCTTCCTATCTACTGCCGCTTTGTGAGCATTGCTCTCATCATGGCCTTTGATACTTGAGCTCTGAATGTCCCGTGCACCTACTCCGGTTGAAGCAAATGGAGAGTGTTTCTCCTTGGCTCAAACCTCACAAACATCACACTTCATGCCATACATCTGTGCCTCCTTGTTATACACCAGCCTTAGCCACGGGTACGTTGCCTTCCATGAGACACGAAACTTCTCCTTGAGAACCCTTTCTTCTTTTGGGATCTCGGGGTCTTCAGGTTGGGAGGGCTCAGCTGGTGCAGTCGGCTTTCTCTTTCGTACGGGTGGAGGAGCAAAAGAGAGTCGCTGTTGCTTGTGCATGCGCTGCCGCACAGCCCGAGATCCAGAGGAAGACGAGGGGAGCACTGGAGAGATCGTTGGATCTGAGGGGCGACGATGTATAGTAGGACGCCCATCGGAGGTGCCTGGAGGGTAGAAATTGAGAGCAACCGACTCTACGCGTGGCTCACCACTATGTGCTACACTAGGGCTTGAAGCCTCATGCCCAGCGTTCAGGTCAAAAACAGGCCTTTGCTCCATGCCTAAGGTCAGATCTAGATGAGGCGGATCTTCTCCCGCCATAGCAGAGCGTTCACAATCTAGAGCGTTTTGTGAGGTGCAGCAGTTCTACTACAAACCCAACACCCTTTTGTAACTATTTCTCTAAATCTATTCCATGGGAGATCGCTGATCGGTTGAGCTGGTCCTTAGGTTGCTAGGAGAGGAGAGAGCAAGCTAATGTAGAATCTGCTGGAGCGAAGGATTTTTCCTTAGGTTGGATTCAGGTTGGTTAGCTAGCAGCCAGCCGTACACAACGCCTGAACTTCGAGTTGAGAAGGGTCGATCTAATTGGAGGAGTTCAAATGACATGGCTGGTGGACGAGCGAGATGACTAGACACTAGATTGGCAGGGCAGCGCGCGCTGACTAGATTGGCAGGGCAGCGCGCGCTGACTAGATTGGCAGGGCAGCGCGCGCTGACTAGATTGGCAGGGCAGCGCGCGTGACGTGAGGTGAGGAGGAGAGGAGGA